AAGAGGAGATTGTTCCCCTTTTAATGAAACCTGCCCTCTCCTGCGCAAAATATCTGATATCCACTGTTTTCATTGGTCCTTCATGTCTTGCTACTCTCTTTTGACCTTGCTCCAACTTGTTTGTCACCTAACGGGAAGGTGGTATATAGCTTTGGACATCCTTCTTTTGTTTTGATAGAACTTGACACTAAAACGCTTATAGACAGATTTCAGAAAATTGAAATGCAATGACCTCAAAGGTTTTTGAGATAGAAAAACGCTGAATAAGATGAGTCGGTAATGAAGAAAAAGGGAACAAGGACTCTATTGAGCGGAAGGCATGATTCCATGAATCCGTGCCATGCATTTTGGATCCCAACCTAGTCTGTCCAACCCAATCAATGTTAATTTACCAACCTTTGTCCGTCTCACTACTTCCACGCCCGGACTTTCACCAAACCCACAGCTTGTGCTTCTTTTGGTCATGTTGCCAAACATCTGTCTTCAACCATCTAGACTTCCTTTATTCGCACCTTGAAGACCACTTTCGCCTTATGGTGCCCGTGAGGGTTTTCACCAATAAGACTCTCTCATTTTTAATATCTCTCAAACTCACTTCGCCTTACGGTGCCCGTGAGGGTTTTCACCAATAAGACTCTCTCATTTTTAATATCTCTCAAATTCACTTCGCCTTACGGTGCCCGTGAGGGTTTTCACCAATAAGACTCTCTCATTTCATCATTTTTCTTCTGGCACCAGAGTGTTGTCCCCAACAAGGATCACTTTACCTGCTTGTATTGACATTTCTTAAGATTGATCAGAAGGTCTTTCTTTGGACCGTAATGTGGCTTTTGGATGGGTTTAGAAAGAAAGGTATAAAAGCTCAAAATAATTCAAAAGTAGGTCCAATATTACAACTTTCGGAATCATATCTCTTGCAACAACCATAACTTCTGCCCCAGTTTCCTTCCCGGGGATTATTGGATTTTCTTTTGTTATGACTGAACCTCAGTGAGGCTGCCTACGTACCCTTTCGGGATCAAGTCAAACGTAGTTCAGATATAAAACTACGTTCGTTGTTACGATTTTTCCTTTTCTTCCACTTTTGTTTTCTTTCCTTTCTCTTCTTTTCTTTGCCTTTGCTTTTCTTTCTTATTTTTCTGTTTTACTCACTGTTTTTTTTTCTTCCCTTCTTTTTTTTCTTTTCTTTTATTTTTTCTTTTCTTTTTTTTTCCACTGTTTTTCTCTTGTTTCTCCATTTTCTTTCCCTGCTCGGGCTTACGAGCTTAATTATTGATTCCGAAAGAGGGGTATGCAAGAAAGTAATTAAGGCTCAAAGGGGTAACAAGGGATAAAGTGTTTAGATAGCAGAACAAAATGTCTTCGTCATTTCAATCTCAAAATATGCCAAATACAATCAGGTACACAAAGATAAAGAAATCATACATAATATCTCTTGACTGCATCAGAATTGATAGTCATTTCTACACATTTTCCTTCTACGTCCGTTAGATATAAAGCGCCATTGGACAACACTCTGGTTACAACAAATGGCCCTTGCCAGTTTGGGGCGAACTTTCCTTTTGCCTCGGCCCAATGAGGTAGGATACGTCTCAGCACCAACTGCTCTACTTCGAACCTCCGCGGACGCACCTTCTTGTTATATGCTCTTGCCATTCTCTGTTGGTATAACTGACCGTGGCACACTACTGCCAATCTCTTCTCATCAATCAAACTTAACTGTTCCAGGCGGGCTTTAACCCATTCATCATCATCAATCTCTGCCTCAGCGATGATCCGGCGGGACGGGATTTCGACTTCTGCGGGTATTACTGCTTCAGTTCCATACACCAAGGAATAGGGAGTCGCTCCTACTGAAGTATGTTTTCAACATGCATTACCTCCTCGTCCGGGAAATATGTTTTCAAAGGCTCATATTCGTCATCAACGGGATTCTCAGCCAGATGATCAGCCAGTGCTTGTGCTTTCATGGCGGTCCGCGTCATGTAGACAATATCAAACTCCGTAAGCAGGATTTGCCATTTAGCCAGCCTCCCCGTGGGCATGGGCTTTTGAAAAATATACTTCAATGGGTCCAACCGAGAGATGAGATAGGTAGTATATGCTGACAAGTAATGTTTCAACTTTTGCGCTACCCAGGTTAAAGCACAACACGTCCTCTCGAAATTTCTTTTGATTTTTGTTCATTTATATATTTTTTGAAATTTGTTAAATGCAAAATTAAAAGTAAAAACCCCAAATTAACTCCAAGATTACACTAATTCCTAATTCAAAAGTAAAATAAGACAAATTAAAAGTATAAATGCAAAAGAACAATTTTTGTTATTTTCTTCTTTACTAATTAATTCTAAAATGTGAAATTAGAACCTAAAACAAATGCCGAATGTATTTTTATATTTTTCATATGAATTAAAATGCACAAATAAAAATGCAACAATTACCAAAGAACGCCACAAAATTCACAAGAATTTATAAAATACTAGAAAAATTGTTTTGTTTGAAATTTTGGGAATTATTGCTTAGGGCAAAAATCACGTGCTCACAACTTCAACAATGTTTTTTTATTCCTTTAGTCTGCTCTCATGCCATAATATACCGTGCATTTCCCAAAAAAAACATCCCAAGGAGATAGGAAGATGAATACATTTTCTGAATATGCCTTTTAGGGCGAGTAAACAGAAAGTTGATGCAAAAAAGAGTGAGGAAAGGCTGTACTAAAGAAAATCAAAAAAATCTGAGACAAAATTTAACATCGGGATAAACACAATCTTACAACAGGTATCTAAGTTCCAAAAATGCATAATAGAGGCAGCAAGTTCAGCTGCATCTTAAGCACAAACTTAAATACTTAATCTGTAGTCTTGGTCTTGCCATTTCAATAGATTGAATTCTTGACATCTTCCTCACATCTTTGTTTTTAAAAAAAAACTTACATTCTTTCACAATTTAAAGTTAAAAAACAGTATGAAAAATAGCTTAAATGAACAGCAAGCAAAGCTCAAAATAACAGAGACGGAAAATTCAACTGCGAAAGTGTCCTAAATAAGCTGAGTTTTCTTTTAGCCTTTCTGTCCGCCACCCAAGATATTGCAACACAAGCATCTTGACAGGTACCATCAGCAAATTTCAAGATAAAATGCCATCTGGAAAACAAAAGGTAATAATTGAACTCTTGCACGCATCAATTACTGATTTTCCAAGCATTAAAAAGGAACCAAGTAACACATCATCGAACGTTCTGAAAACTCAAAGTACACAAGTAGCTATGAAGACAAGAAAACAATATACAGAAGGCAAGAGCAGATGGAGAAAACATATTCTGGAGCCTGTAAAATGTCAAAGGAGCATCAAATGGTAGCAAGATATACCTTGGTTTACTAGCGCCGGTCAGTTTTCCCAGTTGATCGCTTTCCTGAGAAGAGATGTTTTGGTTTCAGAGTAGGAATAACTCTATCAGCCTCTCCCCGCCGAGCATCCTTGTTCCTCTTCTTAGAAGAACCCTTAGCCATCTTTATAGCCATCTTCTTCTGGGCTTTGTCCTTTAAGCCCTCCCCTGGAACAAATTCATCTGGAGGTCGTGACCTTGACCTTGATCTTGCCGTAATGGAAAGTGACCTCAATCTTTGCTTCTTGTTGGGAGTAATCTCGTCGACATCCATTGCATCCTTACCAATGTCATCTCCACGCTCAACTGATCTCTCTCGCTTACGACCCCTTGATCTACTACGGGCTCGATTGATTGCTAGAGTTGGATCCAGCCCCAAAGCAGATAACTGCCTTCCCATTCTTTTTGAAGTGAACTTCTTGTCTTTGTCAAACTTTCTTGGTACAGTGGGTCGGCTCTCTGCGGTGCTTTTCTTAATTCTATGCTGTTGAATGAGCAAACTCTTTTGTTTCCGGATTTCAGCTAATGCTGCTTGTTCTTCAGGGGTCAGCTCAACGCCGTCCATCTCAAAATCATCTCCTTCTTCATCCTGACGAAGACCTTCTTCTCTCTCCAATTCTTCAAGCCTTTGTAAGATATCAGGGTCAATAAAGTCATAGACATTGTGCCCATCTAAAATTTCTGGCATTACATCTTCCTTCCACTCTTCGTTTGCTAATAGATAGTGCTTCCTCAAGCTGGCAGAGTAAACACCTGCACCCCCGTTCTCATTCTCCAGATCTCTCTCAAGTTTCCTTTTCTGTTTCTCAGCATCTGCCTCAGCTTCCTTAGCTCTGGCTTCCAACACTGCCTGAGGTATGCATGCTGGCCTCTCTTTCTGGTCACGTGGTTTTGGCATAGCAACATGGAAGCGGTTCAAGCAGTCATTCAACTTTTTCGACTTCATTTTCAATTCCACCCTCTGATTCAGTAACCTCTCACAAGCTGCATTCTTCACCGAAATCACGCCATCTTCAGTCAACGTGCTCATAGTTAACAACACACCTGCTTCATCTGTTGCCTCGCCACCTTGACCCATCACTGTCTTCATGGCTTCATCTTTCATCTCTGCGACTAACTTCTTGTCTACCTCAGAAATCCCTTCTAACGGCTGCAAGTCCGTTTTGTTGCACACGATCATCAAGGGTTTGTTCATAAAGAGTGATTTGATGCTGTGGAAAAGAGCAGCCTGCTGCGCAATGCTATAGCCACAAGACCCAGAAATATCAAGGAAAAACAACACAGCAGCCCTCAGATGTGCTAGAGCTGTAATACTACACATCTCAATGATATTAC